CTGGCAAATAAGTCCCTCTCTGCTTCAGGTTTAGTAATGACTCAGCTTTGGTAGAGAGCTGAAGATGTCATTTTTATTTCAGACAGGATATGAGCTGTCTGTTACTCTGCCACTAGCAGACTTAAAAACGTCTCAGAGGGGTGGCCGTGTGAGTCTATAACTTTAAAAACAAGTTGTCCCTGTGGTACCTTAGAAACTAACCAAAATGCATAACTTCTGAGCTTTCGTGGGCACAACCCACTTCTTCAGATGAACTGGAAGCACTAGCAGACTTCTTTCAGGCTGAAATGTCAAACAGGTTGGTTGTGTATCTTTCGATGGATTATAAAATTAACAAGCCACTGGCTTTTACTAATACTCAGAGGATGATTCATCCAAAACAGAGAAGAGGGATTCCTGTTTGACATGGGTGGAGCAGGTATTTCATTTTGATCAAATATTGGTGCGGTGGGGTTTGACTCTTAGACAAGAGATCTCACCGCCATGGTAAACCGAGGCAGCATCTCATGTCTTCTTGTGGCCTTTGGGGAAGGGTGAATCTTCTTGATCCTTTGCAAAAATTCAAAGTTCATGTTGCATAGACCACAAGCAACATTTTCAGACCTACGTCCCACTGGGGGGTCGTTAGGATTCTAAACTCCATTAACTTTCAGTGTGATGTTAAGTTTCTCCAGCCCAGTTTTTTAACGGTACTTCAGTGTCTAAAGACACAGATAAGCATTTGTTCAGATTTTCCAAAGCATCTAGGCTCCTAAATCCCCAAACCCCGCTAGGTGCCTGTATGCCTTGTTCAAAAATCTGGCCCTAAGCACTTAAATCACTCAAGCACTTCTTTGCAGATCAGTATCTAGACCAGTGTTTCCCTTTTTTTTTTTTTTTTTTTTTTTTTTTGACCATGGAACCCTTTTAAACTTGGAAAAAATTTAAAGAACCCCTACAGACAGGGAAAAAGTTTGTTGAGCAAAAAAACCACCCCACTACCCAAGCACATAGAAGGCAGCTAGGTCCCTTGGTAAAAGCAGAGTGGCGGGGGAGAAAGGAATCTTGGGTTGATCGGGGAGAAGTGGGATCAGCAGCTATTGCTGCTGCTAGGTCCCCTGGTAAAACCAGAGTGGCAGCGGGGGACGGGGAGGTGTCTGAAAGCCCAGGAGGGACAGAGTCTTTGCCCGCCAGGCTCGTCTCTGTCTCTTTAAGGGCGGGGGAGCATTCGGGTTCTCGCGGAACTCTTACTTGCACTGCGCGGAACCCTATTTGGGAAACACTGGAACTCTTACTTGCACTGCGCGGAACCCCAGGGTTCCGTGGAGCACTATTTGGGAAATACTACCCTACAGTAACAATATTCTGGATGTGAAATGGAAAGTCAATTACTAGTTAGAAAAAATAAGTGGAGGCAGCTACAACTGAGAACTGAGAAAGTCAATAATGTTGTTTCTTCCCCTGGGGAATTTAACCAAGAGAGTTTTGCTGGGGGCAGGGGAAAGGAGGAAGCAGTCTTTCTGTGAGAAGAATTTCTCTGACTTTGCATCCTTCTTGTTTCTCTCAGTGAAAGCCATTGCGTTTCAGTAGCAGTTGGAAGGGTTCGTTACGGAATGTATCTGAAATCTTCATTAGTGCAAGACTTAATGTACCAGCCCCGAGTTGAGTGTTCCTAGTAATGTTGCTTCTCCCAGCAAACTCTTTTAGCAGCAAACTCTTCCTGGACATCTATAGGCTTTGCAAGGTGCAGGTTAGAAGGGGGAAAGAGCTACTGCAGAAGGCAGAGCCCTCCCAGCAAACTCTTTTAGCAGCAAACGCTTACTGGACGTCTATAGGTTTTGCAAGGTGCAGGTTAGAAGGGGGGAAAGAGCTACTGAAGAAGGCAGAGCTCTGAGCCTTGTGGCGCTTTAGGAAAGCCAACCTGTCTGATCCCCTTTCAAGTGCAGTCCCAAGTGCATGAACCTGAAACGTTCACCCCTGCAGCTTAACTTAGTGACTGCCGAGGTGCTTTTGTTTGTGGCAGGTGAAGTTTACTGAAGAATCCGGTTCCTGCGGTTTTGCTGATGTGGCTCTTGAGCCAAACCCTTCAGCGGAGGGCGTCTCAGGGTGGCGAGAAATCTCTTTAATCCTGGTTTCTTTTGTTAGCTTCTCGGGCTCGCAGGGAAACCAGCCGGTGTGGGACGACGCTGTTGGAAACTCCATTCTGCCCTCGCTTTGCTGTGGGTCTCAGCGGAGACATGTACTGTAATTGGGGTGCATTGAGTAGGGCCGGAAAAAGAGTTTAGTGCTGAAGAGAGGAATAGATCTGCAGCTGCATGAGCTACCGTCTGTCTCGGTCAATGAACGCGCGTCAGCTGGAACCTCTGATATTTATATTGGTATAAGGTCCCCTGTGACACCCTTTTAGACTCTATATGACACTTATCCAGATCCCTTTCCTGTGGCATCAGAGCACCCAGCTGGAACCTCTGATATTTATATTGGGATTCATGGTAGAAGGTCCCGTGACACCTTTTTAGACTCTATATGACACTTACCCAGATCCCTTTCCTGTGGCATCAAAATCTTTATCTTCCCGTGGCGTCAGGCAGTGCTACTCTTCCCATTTTAGGTGCAGAGAGGCTAAGTAACTTGCCCATGGCCGTGCAGGGAATTTGTGGCGGAGCAAGGGCTAGGACCTCGCTCTCCCAAATCAGAGGCTTGTATCTGAACCTCTGGACTGTCCTTTCTCACTAACTGGGACCTGCCTTTCAGGTCATACTGCAAGGCTTGTCTTCGAGCGCTTTGGCAGGAAGGTGTTTGACCAAAGCTGAGGCGGAGGAAAGAGAATTGTTGGCAGATGGGATATTGGGAGCAGGGGGAGTTACCAAACTCCCCCTTCTCGATTATTTGTCCCAGGATTTGGTCAGACAGCTAGTGCCTCGGTTGCCCTTGGAGGGAGGGAAGCCTGGTGTTTTCTCATGGTCCATGTCAAGCCACCTTGTTATACATAGAGAGTTTTTGTACTGGGTATCATATTTATATAGTAGACCAGCGTCTGAGAGTCTGTAATGCTGAAATGCTGGCTGTTCCCTCTGGAGGACGCTGTTGCCTGAAATGCTGGCTGTTCCCTCTGGGGGACGCTGTTGCCTGAAATGCTGGCTGTTCCCTCTGGGTGGCCCATTCTGTATGGGGAGTGTGGGGCTCAAACAGCTGCTTGCACCGCTTGCTGTCCCGCGGCGGCCCGGCTGAGCGGCGCAGAAGTCAGCCAAGCACCACGGCAGGGGGCGAAGGGGGGGGGGGCAGTGATGTGCGGCGTGACAGTGGCTCCAGCCCCCGCCCCCCGGCCATGAACGTCACTGCCCCCCTTCGCCTCCCGCTGTGGCTGCCGCATGGGAGCAAATGGCACAAGCGACCGTTAGGGCTCCGCGGTCCCCTGAATGAGAGGCAGGAGGGGGAGGAGAAGAGAAAGAGAGACAGAGAGAGAGGCAGGAGGTGGAGGAGAGCAGAGAGAGAGAGGAGGAGGCAGTAGGAGGGGGAGGAGGAGAGTGAGAGAGAGAGACAGAGCAAGAGACTGGAGGCTCAGGAGAGAAAACCGACATGGAGGAGAGACCTGAAAATCCCGTCTTATGATGGGCTAATTGGCTAGTATTCTATAGAGTGTGCATGCCTCAGGCATGGGTCATAGTCATATCAATGTAGGACTGGAAGGGATCTCAACAGTACATCTAAGCGTTATCTGGACTGTCCCTGATGGGTTTTGTCTCACCTGTTCTTAAAACCCTCCAGCCACAAAGTCACTGGGGAATTTGTTCTAGGACTTTCCTACCGTTACAGCTAGGAAGTTTTCCCGAAATTCTCCCTTGCTGCGATTGAATTAAGCCCGTTGCGTCTCGTCCTGCCCTGTGTGGCTAAGGAGACCAGGCCGTTGTTATTTTTTCCCTTCAGGCTCAACAAACCCAGGTGTTTGTTTTTTGCGTCAGGTTTTCCTCCTAGGTCCTGTTTTCGAGACCGTCACTCGTTTTTGTTGCTCCCTTCTGGACGTCCTCACATTTCTCCCCATCTTTCCTCAGGGGCGAGTGGTGAACGGGGGTGGAGGACCCTCTCGACCTCGGGCTCTGCCCTTTCCCCTCCTCTTCCCCCTCCTCCGAGCGATGCGGGGCCGGGGACCAGCGCTGGGGGAGGTGTCTGTTCTCTCTCACACGCACTCCAGCAGCAGTGTGGTAAGGGGAGCGACGCAGCCCCAGTTTGTTTTGCTCTCCCAGCCGTGTGCTCTCCCAGCCGTGTGTGCTGAAATACTCCCGAGTGAGCTGTTGTCATGATCTATCCGACAGGATCAGAAACAGGCCACCCCAGAAAATCTCACATGAACAGACTTGTAAGATTTCAACCCACCTTCTCAGGCCCAAGAGATTTGGATAACTCAGAGAAACAGTCAAAACCTCCGGATGTAAAATATCTCCACGATCTTGGAGCTAATATTCAGTCTGCTCTAGTGTGGAATATTTTCCAGTTGGGAAATGCCGATGAGTCAAAAGCGAAATGCTTTGCGGGAACGTGTCGATTTTGTGTGGCTTATACAAAAAATCGAAATAGCATTTTGATTTTTCGTTTTAAAGCCTCTTTCCGTTTAAACCATGTGCTATTATAAATTATAATGTCACTTTTTTACAAAAATCAAAATTGAAACAAACTCTTTCAGTTGACCTGAAGCTAGTTTTTTTTCCCCCCCAAAAAACTTCATTTGGCTGGAAACGTCTAAATTCGTTGTTCTGATTGGGAATGAAAATACATTTGAAAATCAGTGGAATTTTCCAGGAACTGGAAGTTCCTAACCCCCGCACCTCGTCTGTGCCCTGCCAGCGAATCGTGACAATTATAAGGAGCCATGAGCAATCTCTTGCATCTCAGATGAAATTATCTAGTCACCTTGGACCTAGACTAAATTCCATCTGCTGTGTTCTTTATCGGTGGCACGTCAGTGAGGTAAGCACGAGTTTATTGGAATAGACAAATTCATGCATGTTCCTTTGTTTCCCCAGGTTCAGAAGAGGACATCGCATGGCCCTGGAAAAGCCAAAAATTGAGTCCCTGAAATGCCCAGGGTGCTAACTTAAGGAGGAACTTTGAAAACACAAAGATGAGGCTCTTCTGGCGACGTTATGGCCCGCTGAAGCTGGCTTTGGTGGGCGTGGTCTTTGTGATCTTCCTCTTCATAATCCAGAGGGACGTCGGGAGCGGCGGCCACACCGAGGAGCCGTGGCTGAAGAACATCGTCGTCCGGAAAGACCAAGTGCTCGACATGATGATGGGGGCGGTGAACAACATCCGCGACTCGATGCCCAAGCTGCAGATCCGGGCTCCGGTGCCGCAGGAGGTCCCGCTGCAGAGCAGCAAGTCCTGCCTTCCGGGCTACTACACCCCGGCGGAACTGAAGCCAGCGATGGAACGCCCACCCCAAGACCCCAACAGCCCCGGGGCGGAGGGCAAAGCTTTCAAGAAGGAGCAGTGGACGCCGGAGGAGACCAAGGAGAAGGAGCGCGGCTACGAGAAACATTGCTTCAACGCCTTTGCCAGCGACCGGATCTCGCTCCAGCGGGCGTTAGGACCTGACAGCCGCCGGAGCAAGAGCTCCCCCTTCTCTGCCTGTTGTAAATAGCAGCACAACAGTCCACCCCATAGCAGGGTGGGGGTCGTCTTGGGCCGACACCGGTGCCACTTACATCTGGTTTTGAAACATTCGAGCCTGTGCCAAAGCAGTTTACGATGCCAGTGACCCTGTGGCCCTCAACACTGGTTTCGCTAAATCACCTTAACTTTGCCCCCAAAGGTTGCCCTGGTTCAACATACAGAAACCAGCTTGGAGATCCAGTGGAGAGGGCAAGGCTTTCTCCCGGCTGTCGGCTCCGAAGCCTGAGCCGTCGCGGCCGTGCATTTGTGTCCCGTAGCCTCGGGCAAAATGGCGGGAATGTGGGTCACGGTCGTTTCGCACGCGTGTAAATGACGTCACACGTGCAAGGCAGGGGACTGTGATTGGATTTTTTTTTTCCAAAGCAAGCCAGTGGAATTCATCTCACATCTTCCAGTTCAGGGGCACAGAAGGTGGGCGGGCAGGCCATTCGAGTGCTCTCTATCACCACAGGTGGTGAAGCAACGGGGCACGCTCACTGAGCAATGCTGCAGAAAAACTCCTTTCTCTAGCGTCTTTCCTTTTAGTCCATCACTAGAGGTTTTACTTCAGCTGTTACAGGGTTTGGGTAACTAGTCTGAGTCTTGGGGTGCGTCTATGCAGCATTATTTCGAAATAATGTCGCGCTGGAGGATTTCTTCCTCCGACTCCTGTAACTCATTTCACGAGGAGGAAGGGATGTCGAAGGAAGAGGGATCTTCCTGCTGTGTAGATGGGGCCAAAAGCTGAATTCAGCTCTTTCATGTAACTCATTTCACGAGGAGGAAGGGATGTCGAAGGAAGAGGGATCTTCCTGCTGTGTAGATGGGGCCAAAAGCTGAATTCAGCTCTTTCAACGTGAGCTTCGCAAATGATGCAGCTGAAGTTGTGTCACTGAATTTCGACCTTTGCCCTGCTGTGTAGACGTGCCCGTAGAGGGGTAGCCGTGTTAGTCTGTAACTTCAAAAACCACTTTTAAAAACGAGTAGACCCGTGGCACATTGGAGACTAACCTATATCTATCCATCCATCCATCCACGTTTTTAAAAGTAGTTGGAGTCTTGTTGATGTTTTGATTTTGATTTTGGGTGAATTCCAGCACGGATTTCCAAGGAAGGGAATCCCAAATGCCACCAGAATGTTCTTCTGAGAAGGATTTTTTCATGTTTACTTTAAACCCATGTTTCTCAAAGTGGCCCGTGGATCCGCTTTGGGAAAGCCACGAGCTGGTCGCTCCGCTTTGTTTATCAAAGGGCTCCATAGCCACATGGCTCCCATTGACTCCAGGTCGCCGTTTCCAGTCAAGGGGAGCCATGGAAAGTGACCGCCTAAGAAAGGAAAGGCATTGGCTAAAGTGGATTTTCTGAAGAGTGCGCCATGTTGCTATGGGCTAGAAACAGGGAACTGGAGCCAACAGGAGCTGCAAGGCTCCAGAGTTTTTAGATAAACAAAGTGGAGGGGCCCATTAGCAGGAAGAACAGTATTTAAAGCAATTTATCTAGAACTTGTGTAACTGCCACCAGGTGGGTTTGAACCAGTGACCTTTGGAACTTAGTATAGGAGCCTCTACAGCTTGAGCTGTAAAGCCAGCTCAGCTGAGGCTGTAGAGCTCCCTTGTTCTGATCTCTCACTGTAAGTGGTCTAAATGCCACTAAGTGGGACAGTGAACCACACTAGGTGTGTGAGTTACACTTGTGCCGTTCCATTCTTGTTTGGATGCAGCAGTAACAAGTGCAGGCCAAAAATAATTGCCAGGGCAGATCAGGTTCTGACTGGAGACGCATCCCAGCTCGCGGCCTTGTTTCAGAAAAGCTCCATTGTGAACTGATGAATTTAGATACCAAAAACAAAAAACAACCCCTCCCCGATAGGCAGGGTCGTTGCAATGATCAGGCTTGCAGCTGACTCTCGAGTTTACATTCCACGTGGATACGTCCAACATCGCCTCTTTGGCCTAAGTCAATTGTATGTGTGACCGTAGCACCGATCCAGCTTGGGGTACGTGGATAGAGCCAAGTGTGTGCTCTGTCTCTGGAGCTCTGTCAGTTATAGAAGCTGCACTGATGTAGCTGAATCAATGGTATCTGAACTAAACGGAAGTGTTTCAACGGAAGTGCCGCTATATAAATGCCTGGCACTTGTGCACCTGGGGGATCTTTTTTCTTTTTCCTATTTGTTACCCCCGTGCCACTTTGTCAACAAAAACCAACTCTCCACTCAATGAGCATCAAAGGCCAAGAGAACATTGACCTCGCTAATGACCTTGTCGTGCACTGGCCAGTGACAGATGTGACATAGTCCCTAGCCACATGATTGGTCGACTGAGGCCACGTTTTCACACACCAGAAATCAGTCTTCTGGCATTTGATTTAGCGGGTCTAGTTAAGACCCGCTAAATCAAATGCTGAGGGTGGCTCCGGTCGGCGCCAAGACTTACAGCAGCCACGAGGAGTAAGGGAAGCTGAGAGGAGAGTTTGCTTCCATTATTTTATGTAGCTTGGAGTTGCGTACCTTGACCCAGGTCTAGCCTGGAGCTGGCCTGAGTTGGATAGCAGGGAGGCGGCTATTCAGCCTCCCAAAAATATCACTGCCCAGTTTGATTAGTAGGCCCAGTTGAGAGAAAGGCAAAGCCACAAGAAATCTCCCTGCAGGAGACAACGTGGGAAGCCCAAGGCATCAATTCTTTCCTCTTCTGCGTCAGGCGCTCTCCTGCTTTTCTCCTTCCTGGTGTCCTTTGTTAAACACCAGCAAACACAAATCTCCTAGCGCAGACACGGCCCTCCCCTTTTTTTAAAAAAAGAAAAAGGCAAGTCTGCCTACTTCAAAAAAAAACTTAATTCCCTGTTCCCAGGCAGCCTCGGGTTTGATCGATTTTTTTTTTTTTCTTTCCCTTTATTTCTAGCCCGCTCTGCCTGCTCCCATTTTTCTTTCTTAGCGGAGTGGAACAGCCCCCTGCCTTCCTGCCAGGGCTGGCGGAGTCAGACATGAGTCTTGGCTTGACCTTCCCCGTGGTCTCAAACCAGGTTTTCTGAGCTTTTGGCCTGCCCCCTTGCCGGGAGGGAGGTTAGGAGAGGCCACCAAGCAAACGGCTTGGAACACTGGGTGAGAAACCCAGCCTCGGCTTGCAGACCGCGTATCCTGTCCGGCTATTATCCGTGCCTGGCAGGTGTGGCTGTGACAATGGTAGGCGGCAAAGTCCTGGGAGCGGGGGGGGTGCAGGGATGTTGCTCGGCCAACCGGAAAGGCCTAAACCCATTGAAACGAGAGCACGCCCGCGCTGCAGAAATTGGCTCCGCTAGGAAGGGGCCCTCCGGACACTCCAAGCGGGGCTCGCAGGCAGCAGAGTCCAAAGAAAAGGAATTACTCTTTTTCGCGCTCGTCCCGGCGTAGTTCGTGACTCGTTTTGGCACCCTCGCATGAAGATCAGAAGCAGGTCAGAGGGAAATCTGAACGGGCCGTAGCTGGGAGCTCCCAGCTTTCTTCTTCCAAAAGCAGTATTGTAGCCGACTGCGGAAACGTAATTGCGCATCCGATTTCCATAGGCATTATATGAACTGAACCAGGAAAGACTTTCAGATGTCTAGGAACTTTGGGATGCCGGAATCGGTACTTGAATAGGGTCCTGTTGAGGCACCCGGAAGCACGAGCCATGTGAGAGAGAGGGCGGTCTGGTGGGGAAACTGAGGAGAGCGGGGTTCATCTCCCTGCTTTGTCGGAGGCTTCCTGTGTGACCTTGGTCAAGTCCCTTAGTACCTGCGCACCTCTTCCTATCTGGACAGTGAGATTTTTGGAAGGCTGCATCGACTGAAAGACTCAGATGCTGCAGTAGCGGAGGAGTCTAAAAGAGATCAAGGCTGGACAAAGCTCGGCCGCAGGAGTTGCAGTTTGGTGGTCTCTGTGCTGTAGGAACCTGGTTTAAACGTATCCACTCACCTAACCGTGATTGTAGGGGGCAGGGTTCCCTGCAGGCGGAGATTCAAATGCCACCCAGCTGATTAACTAAGCACCCGAAGCATATGTTTCTACTAGGGATGTGAATGATTAACTGGCCTGGGCTGGAGTAACCCACTCTGGGTGGAGAGCTGCCCTAGCCCCATAGGGGGGCGGGGAACTCCAGCCCGGCCAGGACCAATCCCTCCCACTCCCCTTTAATCAGTGAACTGGTTAAACGTACTGTTTAGACAGGATTTTACATCCCTAGTTTCTACTGGTGGTGCACATCCACACATGCCTCGGTGCACAGAACAAAATTTATTCTGCACACATATAGGAAAAAAATTGGAGGGAACCCTGGTAAGGGGGCTTGTAACCCTTTCCCGCTGGAGGAGCGAGATTGGGAATGGGCTATAGAGCAGAGCCTACGTTGAGAGCAAAGGAGGCGGAGAAGGGAAAGCAACTCTGTGTTTGACCCAAACAGCCGTATGTGTCACTAACTGTTCCCCACTTGGCCATGGTGTTGGAAAGGCGCCCAGATGGGATGTGGGAGCCCAGCTTCAAATCCCTGCTCTGAATCCGGGGCTTGTATCTGGGGGGGACGTGGGTCCCTGCTTTGCCTGGAGCAGGGTTCGAAACCGGGTTCTTCCATCTCCCAGGTGACCTCTTGCCTCTGGGCTCTCCCAAGAAAGGGGGGGGATCTCTTCTTTGGAGAAACTTACCAAAAGGGAGGTGTCTCTTCTCTTGATGCAGCAGGATAATTAAAAAAAAACAACACACACACACACCCCAAGACCTTGAATCTTTGCAGGACAGGGAAATTTACTCGGCAGTCTGGGAACTCTGGATCTAGCCAGGCAGGCTAAAAGTTCACGCCTGCTTGTCGGCCGCAGCAAATGCCATGCTTAGGTTGAGGGTCTAGAGGGCAACCGTGCGTGACCGGCGCCCTCGCTCACTCGCCTCCGCTTCTCTCGTAGGTGCATTGACCAAAAGTTCAAGCGCTGCCCGCCCCTGCCCACCACCAGCGTCATCATCGTCTTTCATAACGAGGCCTGGTCCACCTTGCTCCGCACGGTGTACAGCGTCCTGCACTCCTCCCCGGCCGTCTTGCTGAAGGAGGTCATTCTGGTGGACGATGCCAGCACGGATGGTGAGTGGGGCTTTGGTGCTGGGGGGGGTGCATTGACCAAAAGTTCAAGCGCTGCCCGCCCCTGCCCACCACCAGCGTCATCATCGTCTTTCATAACGAGGCCTGGTCCACCTTGCTCCGCACGGTGTACAGCGTCCTGCACTCCTCCCCGGCCGTCTTGCTGAAGGAGGTCATTCTGGTGGACGATGCCAGCACGGATGGTGAGTGGGGCTTTGGTGCTGGGGGGGCGGGGTAGCACCTTCAAATTCTGAGTCTCGTCTACCCTAATCCCAGCGCCTCCTTCTCTCCGCCCCCCC